GTTTTAATTCCTCAATGTAAAACACTGTCATGTTTCCATGGCGGGGTTAACCCACCTCTAGTGACTGTCTTCCAGACAGCCACTAGAGGTGCTTCCGCATTGAGTACAGATTCAAACTCTGTTCTCAATCACATTTGATTGGCACATCTCAGCAATCTGCCGAGCATGTGCACTAGCTTTTACCTGTGACTGGATTTACTAAAATCATCAAAACTGAGAGAGAGTAACATGGCGAGGGAGTAAGTAAAAATACCTTATTCATGCACTTGGAGGGGAGGGGGCAAACACCTATACTGTTGCAGGACACTAAAGGAGTTTAAGCATGCGTGGGATAGGCATAAGGCTATCCTAACTATAAGATAAGACTAGGGACTAATGAAAGTAGTTAGAAAATTGGGCAGACTAGATGGGCCGAATGGTTCTTATCTGCCGTCACATTCTATGTTTCTATGTTTCTACTTTAGCATTAGGAATACATGTTGATATTCCTAACTGTTCCATTAATCTAACTAGTGCACCCACCAACTAAATAAATAGACAACAAAGTATGTATATACCGCGCTATGGAGATATACAAATGTAAAGGTTAATAGAACCATCTATCCAAGTTTGCCAACAAGTATTTTGGTATGAATGATGATTATTTTTGTTTATTCAATTTCTTGTTAGTACATTACACAACATTTTGACTCTGCGTTCTGCACTTGTTTGACCTCCCTGACCTTGTCGAATACCAAGACTCTCTAGCTTTACGTTAGCAGGTTTTCTAATTGAACAGGCTTGTGGCCAAGCAATGCAGACACACACTAATTTGTTTTCTGAAATGTTCTGCAAGACCAAACCTCTCCACTTTCATTCACATACATCTCAATTCTGATTCGGCTTGTTTGCATTTCTCAGCCGTTCTACCAAGGGTGATTCAAACAAATAGAAAACTTACAGCCTAATTCAATTTAAGAAGGAAAAATGTCCTCCTACCAACATGTTTCCTTATCAGTAGGTCATTGTCAATCAATTAATGGAGACAGCTGGAGTCTGTGGTGCTGGGAATTAATGGAAAAAAAGACAATGGCCTGTCCTGGACTATTACAATTTAATCACTTTAACTAAACAAATAAGGCAGCCCTAAGCTGCTGACATGTCAAGGGAATTTCGAACAAAAAGGAAACTTCAACAAGCGTTGGTCTTTACTTTCCCCCCCCCCCCCTTGGCAGGACAAGAGAGGGTGATTACTGTAGCTTTAAGTCCCATCTTTGTGTTCCTTCTCTTTGATTCCCATTCGGACCATGCCACTTTCTGGCACTAATTTGTCAAGCTAAACAAAGGACGGATTTGTACCTCCTGTAAGGTCTCAATTAGAACTAGCTTCTGTTGTATTATGCAGCATTCAGGCACAGCACAATACCTATAATTACTGGAATTTGCACTAAATGGCTGAAGAATTTGCAGCAAACCCCTGTCTCTCCATCAACTATTATTAGTTCCTCCTTACCAGAGAGGTGGGAACATAAAACATGGGACCTAACTAAATACAGTTGCCAATGGGCAAAAAAAGTTTTGTTTTTTTAAAATAGTAAACGAAGGTAAAAACCATCACACACACAATGGATTCTTTAAAATGCACTTAAAGGGACACTCCAGGCACCCAGACCACTTCTGCCCATTGGAGTGGTCTGGGTGCCAACTCCCAATACCCTTAACCCTGCAAGTGTAATTATTGCAGTTTTTTTATAAACTGCAATAATTACCTTGCAGGGTTAACTCCACCTCTAGTGGCTGTCTACTAGACAGCCATTAGAGGGCACTTCCTCCTTCAAAGCACAGAAAACCTGTGCTAGAGCGTCGCTGGACATCCTCACGCTGTGTGAGGACCTCCAGCGTCGCTCAATTTCCCATAGGAAAGCATTGAAAAGCATTTTCAATGCTTTCCTATGGGGAGCTCTAATGCGCATGTGCGGCATTGCCGCGCATGCGCATTAGGTCTCCCCACCGGTGGGCGGGATCAGCCGACGTAATGCAGAGGAGGAGTGGTGGCGGAGGGAGAAGCAGTATCCACTTCTCATTTCTTAAAAAAATATTAAATTAAATTTAATGGAACTGAAATGTAATATTTATTTTTTTAAATAATGTATTATGAATTTCTTTTATATATTTTTTTTTTTTTACAAAATTTTACTTTTTTATCCATATTGGGTTAGATTTTACTGTTATCTGACCGACTACTGCTCAATCTATGTATTCTGCCACTGCAGCTTAAATGACCACTATAGGTGCCAGGTCCCTCTAGTTTTAACCCTGCAGCTGAAAACATAGCAGTTTTACAGAAACTGCTATGTTTACACTGAGGGTTAATCCAGCCTCTAGTGGCTGTCTCATTGACAGCTCTTGCCGCGCATGTGCATTCGGCGCTGACGTCGGCAGGAGGAGGAGAGTTCCCCAGCGCCAAGGGAGCCTGGCACTGGAGAAAGGTTAGTGGCTGCAGGGGTTTTAACCCCTTCAGCCCAGCGGGAGGGGCGCCATGAGGATGGGGGAGACCGAACTACTACATAGTGCCAGGAAAACTTTAATACTGAGCAATCACAGGCACAGACAAGTCAGTCAGATAATTGTAAAGTCTGACCCAATATGGTTGCCCAAACACGATGGTCAACGCACTCAAGATGTGTAAATAATACGTTTAAGGCATGGTATAACACCAGGAAAGCAACCACCTCCTAGTCCCATTTCAAAATGAAAATACAGGAAATCTTTAGAATTTTGGTGAATGACTTATAAATTGACACCTGAAACTTTTCTTTTTCATTTGGATATTCCTGCACAAGTTAAAACATCTAAATGTGTTTTTATTAAAAGGATACTATAGTCACCAGAACAGCTACAGCTTAATGTAGTTGTTCTGGTGAGTATAATAGTTCCCTTCAGGCTTTTTTCATGCAAACACTGCCTTTTCAGAGAAAAGGCATTGTTTACATTGCCTCTAGGGACACCTCCAAGTGGCCACTCCTTAGATGGCCACTGCAGGTGCTTCCTGGCTCAGTGCTGGCGAAAAAGCAGCCCTGACGTTCTGAGTCCTCACGCTCTGCGTGGAGATGCTGAATTTTACTCATAGAGATGCATTAATTCAATGCATCTCTATGAGGAGATCCTGATTGGCCAAAACGTCATTTGGTCCCACCACCATGACTATTTTAGCCAATCCAATTCTAATTAATATACGATATTTATCACCCACCATTCCCAAGTGAAATTCTCAAATAATTTACTTATTGAAGATAAACTTTATGACTCAATTCTATGGGGAGGCCTGCTGGTTCTTTTATGCTTTTCTTTTTGGATTATTGCTGTAATTTGTTATTGTTTTGAATGTATAAGAACTCTTTTTTTGTTAAATTTATGTAATGAAGAAAAAAAGAAAAAGTTTCAATAAAGATTTATAAACTTAAAAAAAAAAATCTGCAGTTACATTTCAAAACACAGGAGAGATCCCCAGAACCTATTATTGCCGGTACACGTAACTCAAAACATGAGACAGTCCTGGCAAATATGGGATTGTTGGCACCTTGATTTTGTGAATCATCTTCAGATTTCTGACTCTGAATTTTTGCCGTATTACGATTTGTTCACTGATTTAGCTTACTTACATTCAAACTTCAGTGGAAAAACAATTTCAAAAATGTCATGTGCATTTGACAATTTTTGCATTGTAGGTAAAAAAAAATTGAAATTTTGTTGAAAAAACTAAACAAAAAAAAACAGTTTTATAATGTCGTGCAAACAATGACTTACATGTGCACCTAGATTATTGCTTCTATAAACAGTACGATTATACAAAGCAAGATTTCAGAAATACTTTATTTTTATTTTTACTATCTAATGGTTTGTGTCATTTCTCTCTCCCCTTCAATGCACGTTTTTGAACAAAAATAAAAAAGTTAGAAAAATTGGCAAATACAGAAAAAAAAAAAGGGAAGATGTGTAAATAAGGCAGATTTATTAGTGAATACAGCAATGTATTGACCTCAGATACAAGGAACAAAGCCATGGGGGAATGAGTGCAGCGGCGAAGAGCAGTGCAGATCCATGAGTCTTGCATTGTAGTCTGTGATATCATACAGCTTCACGGCTGGGCTACTGGGAATGGGGAATTGGCATGAAGAATTTGCTACAGGCTAATAGAGGGAGCAATTCATTTTTGGTTTTGAGGAGGGAATCAGCTACTGGCTACTGACCATGGCGAGGAGGGTAGAATGGACTACAGATAATGAGAAGGGATTGTAAATACACCTCTTCACACGAATTCACTCCAAGCACCTCTCCATTCACGCACACAAATCCTCCTCATACATACACAATTGCATTCATGCACTGTCCCTTGGCACACATATGCAGGTATGCATTTATACAGTGTCTATGTAAATGCACACATAGACACTAAAGAAATACATACCTGCATACACCCAAACATGTTGAGAAGTTGTAGACATACTTGAATTAAAAAAATGCAAGGAACATGCATTTGAGGTGGCGAGTAACTTTTAACGCCTGGCTAGTAACTCAAGACGTATAAGTATGAGTGGCACCGTCAACTCTTTTTTCATATAGGCAGACACTTTATGAATAACAAGTATATATTGCATTGGTATATCAGCACAAAAAGAAAGCCTTTTAAATTGCTATTAAACTAACCTTTATTCCAATGTTGGAATAGACTCATCACTGTAATCTGATCCTCAGTCATCACGCCCGTTGATTTTGTCCAATTAAATGCTTCACATAGGGAAGCATTGAAGAAATATGTGCATGCATGCACAGCTATCACCATGGTCAAATAATCCAATGCTTCTCTATTATTCTGAATTCATTACTTTGCATTGAGTAGCACAAGATGCACACCCAGCGTCTGGTGTCAACATACTTCGTATACCAGTGCCAGACGTAACATAGATTAAATTACTGAATCCATTTTAGTCTGAAGCACCTACTAAATAAAATATATTCTTACCTGCACATTTGAAACTTTGAGCGGTGAGCCCCCTCTCCAGAGCCAATGTTGTTATGATCCCCAGAAAGCTTGTGGTCACAGACTGCCGCTTACTCTTTTGAAGTTCTCTCATTTTTGGGGCTTTGGGCTTATTCCGCAGAGGCACTAGCAGATGTTCTTCTGATTTCTTAGAAGAGTTAGCAGCAGATATTATAGCGTCCATCCATTCCTGTGCCCTTTGACATGTTTCTGTACGGAGTCGTAGGACATCATGAGGAAAAATCACTTGAAAACAGGAATCATATCCATCAAGAGTGTCCATTTGGACCGATGTGCATACATCAATATTATAGCTGAGCAATGGATCCTCATCCAGGCAACCTGGTTTAAAAGCTGTAAGTTGTGAACTTGACAGTATAAACGTGAAAGCTTTCCAGTTATTCTGTACTGTTAACCTATAAAGTGTTCCTGTTTTCAAAATATTTTTGTAGAACCCATTGGACAGGTTGATAGAACTGGGAACTTCATTGGTCTTATACGTTAAGCCATGATTTTCCAAATAGTCACCACCATTATCACTAATGCTCTTTGATCTTGCCAAGACCTCCTGCTGATTGTTCACATAATTTGGGATTAATGTCAAGGCACGCACTCCTTCCCATAACTTCTGTCCCCAATCCATGGCTTCCCATGCAGAATCCGCCTTAAGTTGCACTTGGCTGTTGTCTGTAAATATAACATCGACAAGCTTGGTTTCATGGCTACCTGTGATTGTGATACTTTCTATATGAACAAGAGGGTAAGCAAACAGAGGATTATGATTTCCACTGCTATCAGTACTATATACGTGAAATTTGTATGGGGAAATCTCGGCATAACAGCTCATCCAACAGTTCTCTTGACTTTTTCGTGTTTCAAGGAATCCTTTCTTGAGAATATTTGGAAACAAAGACGTAAACTCTGTAACACAAAAGCACATTGTATTAAATGCTTAATTCCTACTTAAAAGTCTAGAAATGCATTATTCTAATGGCAAAACTTCAGTTATCTTAAAAACATCAACACATATTAATACCCACGGTAAAATTAAATTTGGCCTAGTATGCATGGTCCATGTTGTCCACAATGGGTATTAATCATAAGAATACCAATAAAATAATACAATTATAATAAAAAGTCCTGAAATATAGCTCAAATCTCTAGAATGCAGGAGGTTCTGAATAGAAAACTATGTAGCTCTCTATGTCCCAGTTAACCCTGCCCCAAATTTATTATTGGACCAGTGTAATGTCACACGTGACTGCACAATTCAAACATGGTGAGGTTTCGTAAAAAGAACAAAACTATGAGTACTGGAAGGTGATTAAATTACCAGGCCTCCCAACAGCCCCAGATTCGGCAGACAGTCATGATTTTGAGGTCCTGTGCCAGCGCCCTGAATTGGTTGTTGTGCAACATCCTGGGGAAGCACAACTCAAATGCGGTATTAGACATGCTCATGCTGTAAATGGGCACTAGGACCATACCGAAAGAACTTCAGCAGGGTCCTCTACATAATCTGTATGGAGAGGGTCAGCCAGGAGGGTGTCTTGTCATGCTTGATGCCAGGCCTACATGCCCCGTAACCCCTTCAATCCTGAATTATTTCTAGTGAGTAAAAAAAAAATGATATAGGCAAATGTTATCCTCAGAGGCGGCTCTAGACTTTGCAAGGCCTTAGGCGAAAGTCAAACATGAGGCCCCCCATTTACACCATTAGTGAAAAAATTGCCGCAGCTCCCTATGCCGCTGCATTGTGAACACTTTTACTGTAGATATGACATAAATTGCTAAACATTTGTATACGATTGCTGGTATGGTTGTATAGCCTGATATTTCCCCACATATTCTAAATTCCTTAACATGTATATTATCACATATGTGTTTCCCTATGTATTTTATATGTATGTATGTATGTATGTATGTATGTGTGCATTCATGCATATATATGTTGCTTGCAACTTTATCTTTGCATTGCCCATATCATACCACAACCACACTGCAAACAGACGCACACATTTAAACACTAACACACAAATACATATACACACTGATACATGCACATGCATTTACACACACACACAAACGCACTGATGCACACATATTGACTAATACAGACATACAGTCACAATGTGTTTATCTGGCTGTGTGTATTTCTGAATGTGTCTGGTATTGTCTGTCTGTGTATGTGCCTGAGAGTGTCTCTGACAGTGAGTACCCTTGTATGTGAATGTATGTTTCTGTGAGCATGTGTATGTTTATGTCTAGGACCGTATGTGTGTGTGGTAGCTGCTTGCGGTATTTTTTGTATATAGACTGTGGCCTTTGTGCATTTTGTCTGTGGTGACAGGGTGTGTGGAGGGAGGTGACAGGGTGTCGAAAGGGGAGACTGTGTGTGTGAGTGGAGGGGATGACAGAGTGTGAAATGACGTGAAAGAGAGTGGAGGGGGCTGACAGAGTGTGGAGAGGTCTGACAGAGTGTGGAAGGGGGTGACAGATTGTGGAAGGGAATAACAGAGTGTGAAAGGGGGTGACAGGTCGCTGAGGGAGGGATGGGGTGACAGAGTTAGGGGGTGGCAGAATGAAGGGTGGGCAGGTGGCTGAGGGAGGGGACAGGTGGCAGTGTCAGAGAGGGAGAGACAGGGGTCAGAGTGAGGGGAGGGGGTGAGGTGGCTTAGCGATGGGGTAACAGAGTGGGTGACAGGGGACAGAGTGAGGGAAGGTGGGGGTGACAAGGGACAGACTGAGGGAAGGAGGGAGTGACAGGGGTCTTAGATTAAAGGAAGGAGTGGGTGACAGGGGGCTCAGTGAGGGCCACAGTGAGGGGGTGACAGTTGTCAGTGAGGGAGGGGCTCACAGGGGGCAGAGTGAGGGGGTGACAGAGGGCAGAGTCAGGGAGGGAGGGGGTGACAGCGGGCTTAGTGAGAGGATGACAGCGGGCTTAGTGAGGGGTGACAGTGGGCTTGGTGAGGGGTGACAGCAGGAGACTTGGTGAGGGGGAGACAGGAAGACAAGTGTGAGGGTGACAGGGGGCTTAGTGAGGGGTGACAGGGGGCTTAGTGAGGGGGTGACAGGGGCTTGGTGAGGGGTGACAGGGAACTTGGTGAGGGTGACAGGGAACTTGGTGATGGTGACAGGGGACTTTGATGGGTGACAGGGGACTTGGTGATGGTGACAGGGACTTGGTGAGGGGTGACAGGAACTTGGTGGAGGGGGGGACTGGAGGGGTGACAGGGGGCTTAGTTAGGGGGTGACGGGACTTGTGATGGGTGACAGGGGACTGAGTGACAGGGACTTAAGGGTGACAGGGGACTGGTGAGGGGGTGACAGGGGACTTGGTGAGGGGGTGACGGACTTGGTGAGGGGTGACAGGGGGCTTAGGGGGTGACAGGGGACTTAGGGGTGACAGGGGACTTGGTGATGGGTGACAGGGGACTTGGTGATGGGTGACAGGGGACTTGGTGATGGGTGACAGGGGACTTAGGGGTGACAGGGGACTTAGTGATGGGTGACAGGGGACTTAGGGGTGACAGGGGACTTGGTGAGGGGTGACAGGGGACTTAGGGGTGACAGGGGACTTAGTTAGGGGTGACAGGGGACTTTAAAGGGCAAGCCGCCGGGTCCCCCCTGATGTCGGATCCTTGGTCATGGACCGAGGATCCGACATGTATGTCTGCCCTAAGGTGATTTAGGCGGCCGCGAGGCCCCAGCCAGCGCGAGGCCTTAGGCGGCCGCCTAAATCGCCTAATTAGAGAGCCGCCTCTGGTTATCATTCTTTCACTGGAAAATTGAATTCATTTTTTTTTTTTTAAACTAAGTAATGTCATTTCTGCCATTCGGTGCCTCCATGCAATTTTCCTAATAGAGATAAATTGATTCAATGCATCTGTGTGACGAGATGCACATTGGCCAGGGCTGTGTTTGGCTTGTGCTGGGAAAGCATTGTGATTGTGATTGGCTGAGATCACCACTTCTGATGATGTCACCCAAGCAGGCAGATCAGGGGAAGAGCCAGCAGCAGAAAACGGTAATAAAGGTAAAATTTTACTATTTTAATGGGGGCAAGATAGTGTTTTTAACACTATAGTGTCAGGAATAATTTGGGGTGTTTCATCACAATGGCAGATATCAGATTTGCTAAATACCCAGCATAATGTACTGAGTAGATAAAAAAAAATTAAATAAGCGTCAGCAAGTTAAAGGACCACTATAGTGCCAGGAAAACATACTCTTTTTCCTGGCATTATAGTGCCCCCACCCTCACGGTCCCCATCCCGCCGGGCTCTGGAGAGAGGAAGGGGTTAAAATTTTACCTTTCTCCAGCGCCGGGCAGGGAGCTTTCCTCCTCCTCTCCTCCTTCCTAGCGACGTCATCGACTGAATGCGCATGCTGGCGTCTTCTCACTGTGATTTTCACAATGAGAAGCACACAAGCGCCTCTAGCGCTTTCTCTGAAACTGCTATGTTTATAAAAAAAAAAGGGTTAACCCTAGCTGGACCAGGCACCCAGACCACTTCATTAAGCTGAAGTGGTCTGGGTGCCTATAGTGGTCCTTTAAGGCACAATATAAAGCACATGAGATGCCATCAAATCCATCTATCAAAATTCTAACTGATGGTCAGGTCACATATATAGCACTGTAGATTTACAGGCTAATGACAAAGACAAATATTGGGGCGTCTGTTGTATCACACACAATATGGGGTTTTGTGCAGGAGTAACACAGTACACACCTCACATTTTTGTAAATATTTTACTATATCTTTTCATGTGACAACACTGAAGAAATTACACTCTGCTACATGTAAAGTAGTACGTGTACAGCCTGTATAACAGTCTAAATTTAATGTCCCCTCAAAGTAACACAACACACAGACATTATGTCTTAACCCCCATCTTTTTCTAGCACTGCGCGATTAAGATCGCGGCTGTCCCGCCCCTGCTCCGCCTCCTTGACCAAGATCATCAAACTTGCCAATCCAATGCTTTCCGATAGGGAGGCTAATACACAAGGATTGGGAGGCTAATGGATATGCGTAGCAAAACACCTTGGTGCGCCAATCAGCAGCTCCTCATAAAGATGCATTCAGTCAATGAATCAATCTCTATAAAGAATGTTCAGCGCCTCCATGCAGTGTGTAGAGACACTGAATGTCAATGCTGCACATTGAGAGGCATTGACAGTGGGGCATACTATACACAGTGACTATAGTGTCCCTTTATCATGTTGCCATTTATAATTCACACACTAAAACTTCTTGAGAGTAATATCTGGTAGAATCACCAGTGGGGTAATTTCAAGTGATACTCTTAAAATAGGATTATTAACAAAATATGTTTCAGTTGACTCAAATAACTATCTGCTTATTATTATGGTCAGTGGTTCACTTTAATTTTTTTGTGGGGACCAGGGAAAATTAATGAAGCTTAACATTATTCAACAAAGAACAATTTAAACATGGAAAAAAATCCAAGCATGTAATCCAGATGATCTTATTGTACTTTAAATATGTAATCTACTGTAATACAGAAGTGTGACTTTCTGATAAATCGATGCTAATAAAGGAAATAAAGACAGTGCTTTCACTCTTTCTGTTCGAAAGAAAAATACAAATCTTGAGAAAAATAGGTTTGCCTTGCTCTAACATTCATTAGTAGTTCTGTGAGTCCTGAGCAGCCATTAGGTTTCTTTGAGACATACACTAATCCACTCTAAGTATACATAATGGTTATGCATTTTGTGGAAATTTCCTTTCTCTGTTAATCCAATAAGAAAACTATTAAATCTATTCGTCAATCATGCTTTCTGTTCTTTGCATCAGCAGCAGATGACAAGCTCTGTCTCCTCCGCCTGCCTTGTAGTGTCCCCGTCTCTCAGCTCAGGTTTGGATAGAGGGTCTCTGCACAAACGCTTGTGCCTCTTTTT